TCACTTGGTAGCCCAGGCTGGCCTCGAACTCACAGAGATCCACCTGGCTCTGCCTCCCGAGTGCTGGGATTAAAGGCGTGCGCCACCACCGCCCGGCAATTTCAGACTTCTTACAGAAAAGATATACAGATCTCAGATCTGGAATGAATATTTTATCTATTTATTTAACACATTTTTTATGAGTCCCTCCCATGTCAAAAGAAATGGGAGCTATTGGTTGTAGAATGATTGATATTGATAGTAGCAATATTTATATTTTTTCTCTTGATTTAGTTGATGTTGTTTGGGGGGGGTTGTTTGTTTGTCTGTTTTGAGACAAATTCTCACTATATAACCTAGCTGGCCTGAAGGCTACTGTATAGACCAGGCTAGCCCCCAGCTCACAGAGATGCTCGTGCCTCTGTTTCATGACTGCTGGGACCAAAGGCATGCAGTAACATGCCCTGCACAAACCACTATTTCTGACTTCATTACTGTGTGCCATGCTCTCTGATGAGTCTCATCTGGATGCTTGAGTCTTCTAAAGATAATCACATCCACCAACAACCCAAATAGTGATGCTAAGAAGAACCAGAGTTTCCATATCTGTTGTCAGGTGTTTTCAGTGGCCTTTACATTAGTATTCTAAATATGGCCTCTGACGGAATTCTAGGCCCAGTCATTTAAAAATGGCCTTGTTCCCAGTTAGCAAACTTCCAGATTGCCACTAAGCATTTTTTAATTAAAATATAATTGTGCCGGGCGGTGGTGGCACACGCCTTTAATCCCAGCACTCGGGAGGCAGAGACAGGCAGATCTCTGTGAGTTCGAGGCCAGCCTGGTCTACAGAGTGAGATCCAGGAAAGGCACAAAGCTACACAGAGAAACCCTGTCTCGAAAAACCAAATAAATAAATAAATAAATAAATAAATAAATAAATAAATAAATAAATAAATAAATAAATAAAATTGCATCATTTCCCCCTCTCCTTCTCCTTTCTCCAACTTTTCCCACAACCCACAACCCCCTTTCAAATTCATGGCCTCTTATTCTTTAATTATTGTTGTGTGTGAATAAATATATAAATGTAACTTGCACTAACCATTCTCAAACCCCTCTTTGTGTCCCTAGGAGAGCAGGTCAGGGATTTTTGTGGTCCTGCACCTGATAGCTCCACTTTTAAAACTTCAACAACTTTGTTTGAAACCAAATCTGCTGCCAATATTTGCTACAGTATGTAACCACCCCACAGTTTTGAATTGATTTCTAGTTAATACAGTATACCCTGGGGAGTACCGAACTTCCTCACTGGACCCATTCTAAACTTACCTAAAGCTACAGTGGTTTCCCTAGAGGAATGGGACCAATAGGACACACACACACACACACACACACACACACACACACACACACACACACACACACACACACACTGTAAAAGAGGATAAGGATTTATTAGATTATGATTACAAAACAGGGACCAAATCATTCAAAACTGGCTATTAGCACATTGGAGAGTCTAAGAACTGGGGAAGTTCATGCACACTGCTTTTTCCTGGGATCTTTTTGTGTCTGGCCTGTCCATTAATTGCAAGGTGCTGCCCATTTTGATGTGATTCTCCCCCCTTATCCTCTATGGAAACACCTTCACAGACAGCTCTGAGATGTGTCACCTGATTCTAAAATCCAATTAAGTTGGCAAAACCAACCAATTGTCACAAGTAATGTATTCACCTGTATGTTAAGCAGCTTTCCAAAACATTATGTTCTCTTCTTTCTCTCCACTCTCTTAAGGCTTCCTCTAGAATCAAAAGAAAGCTTGTATAGTCCACATGCAGGGCACTCTAGAATATCTGAGAATTTGCCTCAAACCATGAGATATTCTTTTCATTCTAGGGCATCATGCATCATGATGTAGGTTATCACTACCTACACCCCCACACCCTTATCCTTCTATGAGTAAGCCAGTTGTCTGGTTATGCCCAAAGCCAAATTGCAACAAGGGCTGAATTTTCAGCTATTTGCAAAGAATTTAATAAATTCTGTGCTATTTACAGAATGTTCTATAATTGCATGGGACACAGATTTAATGGGAGGTGATGAACTGTGTTGCCTACACACAGAAAAGTCTGTGTGAGCTTCAGCACAGTATTTTCTCACTTAACATTCATCTCAGCACTGTGGGATGAAGAGTGTCTTCCAAGTTTAGAGATAAGAAAGGCAAGACACCTTACCTCATCGAAAATAAAACACCTAGTGATAGTAGAGTTAGGTGTTGTTTGGAGGCCCAAAAGGAGATCACCAGCTACCTGGTCTCATTATTACCAAAATTGCTAACTAGAAAAGTACCCAAAGCAAGAATAAATTTCCCCTCTCTGGCATGCTAACCTAATATTCTAAAGGTACTTTTCATCATATCTGTAAACATTCAGCATATGTATCAGTGTACTCAAAAACAAACTACCATTTACAGTTGTATCTAAAAAATGTTTGCTCTTCCCTTGTTCCAGATAATAATTTATATTCATGTTCCAAATAATAATTTGTGCTACATTTACAACATCTTCTCAAAAAATGTTACTTGAAGAAAAGCCCAGGTAAAATTAAGTAATATTTTCCCTATGTTAATTCCAATTTCAGTCTTTGGAGATCTAGATCTGACCAGGGAATTAATTCTCTTACCACCTACATCTTTCAACGGTATTTTGGGCACCGCATGTCTAACTAACAAGATTCCCAAGATTAAGATTATAAACTAAACTTCTTACATCAATAAAACTCTTTGTAGTGGAGCAAACACTAGATTATTGATGTTCTGAGGTCTGTTAATTATCATCAGAGATTAGCCACATAAAAACATATGATTGTTGTCTATTTGAAAGGTCCACATTAAGAATGAAAAAAAAAAAGAAGAAGAAGAAGTGATGAGAAACTGTTCTAAGTCCCAAGAGGTAAGCATACAAACAGCCCATCCTTCTTAGACTTAGGCTCTTCAGAGCAATGAACACAACCCTCTTTGAGAGCTGGCCTGTCTCTTCTTTACTTAAAAGAAATTTTCATCAAGGAATCAAAGTCTCAGTACAAATGAAACCCTTTGAGAGCTTTTCAGTAGGAGACACCAGATACAGGGAATTGTTATTTTTGGCATGTGTGAGGTTTGAGCTCAAAGAAGGAATCCTGAATTCACTTCTTTTAGTAAAACTCTGTGTTCTCATCTGTTCCTAAGCTGTCTTATTGCCATCTCATACTTGTTATGGATAGATCCAATATTAAATTCCTGTTGGCATCAAAAGAATAAGTCTGAGTCTTCATCTCTGTATCCATTCTTTACTTCTGAAACAAACACATATAGCTTGACATTCCTCCACATGCTGCCCTTATTACAGTGGTTCTCAACCTGCAGGTCACAACCCCCTTGGATGTCTCATATCAGATATCCTGCATATCATATATTTACATTACAACTCCCAACAGTAGCAAAATTACAGTTATGAAGTAGCAATGAGAATAATATTATGGCTGGGGGGTCACCCCAACACAAGAAACTATACTAAAGGGTTGCAGCATTGGGGAAATTAAGAGCCATTGACAATAACCCTGTTAGCATCCAGACTTTTTATCATGACCAAGTTCCCTTTTGCCACTGTGAGCCAGGAGCCAGGGTCTTTTCTCCTGCTGTGATAATGATCTCTGCAGGTGCTGCCTCTATTTCATCTCTGCCCTTCCCAGAGTTTATTTTTTAGCATCAGGTTACTTCTTTCTCTCAAAAATTGATTATATTCATAACTTCTGCTGCTGGGTTGGGAAGGAATCTCTACAAAGAATGTTAGATGTGGAAAGGCATTGCTTTCTCTAAGTAAATTCCTATCCAGCATGAGCTGCCATTCCCCTTCACCTGAGAGGCCAATGCATCACTCTTCACTGTGAGTCAGGGTAGTTGAAAGGTACTGAGACAAAGTTCATCTTTTCAGTGTCACTAGAGTGGTGTCAAGTTCAGCAGGAGTTGAAGTTGGCATCCCAAACAAAATATCATAGGATGACTGAACGTTGGTCCCGCTCAACACACTAACCAGGATTCTGCTTCTATCAGCTGAACCTGGAACAGTTGAGCATAGCCTCCCTGCACCAGGTAGAGCCAAGCATAGGGTGAAGAATGCCAGACATAAGCCTTAAATTTTCTGCTTTTCCTGAGACTGCCATTTTCCCCAGGATGCTGACCCTGAAGCTATAAAGTCTCAGCCCCTATTGTTTTACAGTGAAGAGTGTTTTGCCTTCCCTTAAGTACTAAAGTAGTTACTGAGCTTAAAATAGATTTAGATTTAAAAAAAGAAGAAGAAAGAAAAGAAAGAAAAACCAGCCACTTTGCATTATTTTCTCACATTTACTTTGACAAGGTCGTGGGACACATTGAGAGGCCTATGTACTGTAAACCAAACCACCCTTGAAACCAAACTCAATTTGGTTTCCCTTATGTAACATATAAAAGGTGACTTTCAGACACATAGATTGCCATTTTTCTACATCTTTCTCTTACTCGTTTTTGAAATCGACAATCATGGGAACACAATCTTGGCTAAGAGCTGGTTGCTACTCGTTCTTCTGACTCCAAACAGTGCACCAAGGGTGAAATGCATCAAGATAATGTTTTCTCCAGAGACTTGGCATTTAACTAGAACAGGATTCCAAGGCAAATTAAATGCTTCATGGCCTGGGAGCTTAATTCAGCTCTTGTTAATTAACTAGTCAGCGGATTGATTGCAAAAAGTTTAGTTTTTGTCAGTAGAAAGACAGAAAAGTAAAGAAGCTTTTCTAGTTTTCCATACTTTGTCATACCTTTGAAACGTGACAAACAGTTACTGGACTTGGTATCAATGCTGACTTTCTAGAATCCCTCAATTCCTCAGGAATGGATGTCATGGTTGTGACTGAAGCTATGTGCTGGTAGGTTGCCTTCAACGTAAAATTTGGAAGTCAACACCAATGTTGTCTATTCCACTACAGATCTTCTCTAAGCATCCCCTCTGACCATAGCTATTGAAGTTTTAGTTATGCTGTATCTATAACATGTTGAACATCAAGTTATAGCACAGTCATTCTGTTTTCCGAAAATTTTAAGAGTCATAGGGGGAACACACCTCTTGAATTAATACACCAGTTCCTGCCAGTGAAAAGTCGAATGTAAGAACATGGTTATCAATATCTGAGGACTGTGTTCTGGGAAATGTACAAGTTCACCTTCAGGATAACAGCATGGGTTAATGAGCTATTGATTAGTAAGGACGAAAGATATGAGGTACAGGAATTCAGGAATTTTCTAAGAATTTGGTTTGTTGGTGATAATGAGGTGCAGTTACTAAAGGCACTAACACACATTTAAATTTTAAATTTCTTGAAGCCAAGACCATGATTAACATATATCCAGCCCCTTGCCCTAAAGAATTGTCTCTGTCTCTTTTTTATAAGTACTTTTGTTTCCACCTGAGGAGTAGAAGAGAGCCTCAGAGAGGTGACAAATACAGGAATGGAGTTTATAAATAAGAAAGCAGAAAAAGATAGCTGCTATCTGTAGGAGAAAGGGGAACCAGATGAGAAGTGCAGGTGACATGGGGGATACGGTGGAGGAGGGGAATAAATGAACAAAATGATAGTGAAATATGGACAGAGGTGCCATGATGAAATCCATTACTTTGTACATGAGTGAAAAAAGAAATACTTCCACAAAGATACTTTTATGTGCTAACTACATATCAGAAAGCACTTCTCAGCCCATGAAGATTCGACATGGACATCATGAGAATAACATTTTAGAAGTAGGCCTCTGGCTCCCATGCGGAGATAAACATCAGTGTAACAAAGTCAAAAGCAAGGAAATCATTCCAGTAGCCCCTAAAAGAAATAATAATAGTGTGGAATGTGATGCTAGCCACAAAGGTAGGGATACTCTTGTACTTTCAGAGTAGAGCCAATGAGGTTTGCTGACAGATTAGAAAGCTATAGAAAACACCTGAGAAGATACATTATAGGAGCTGGAGAGACTGTTCAGAGGTTGAGAGCACTGGCTGCTTTTCCAGGATACTTGGGCTCAGTTTCTAGTACCTACATGTGGGCTTACAACTATCTATAACTCCATTTCCAGGGGATTTAATGTCCTCTTCTGGTCTCTGTGAGCAATGCGTGCATGTAGTGCATAGACATTCAGATAAACACTGAGATGTACAAAATAAAAATTTTAGATAAAAACCTAAAAAAAATTCTAATGCAATATAGAAAGTCTAAGGGAATCTTGTGTGAGCGATCAAGAGTTCTGCTTGTGTTCTGCTGTATATGTCTAAGAAATGGTCAAAGATGCAAATCAGTTCAGAGGAAGAGCCAGCCAAGGACACAAAGACGGGAAAAGTTGACAGGTAGATGCAAACATGTTTATGTTAAAGAATACAGAAAGAGTAAAGTTCCAAATCACAAACACACTGACGCCCAATATTCAAGATGAGAAAGGGAAATAGGAAAAAATCAATATCAAATAAGAACCACAAGAATACAGTGTCTTGTGAGCAGTATGAAGAGAAGGTGTCAAGGATGAGGGGCAGATTATGTGAAGCATCCATCAGGCAGTAGAATAAGACAAGAGGCTGGACATGAAGATGCCTATCACTCATCAAGGATGTTTTGAAAGGCCTGGGTGACCAAAGTGTTGCAATGAAAGTTTGTCTCTTACCCTGTCCTTGGAGAAGAACATGGGGAAGTAAAATAAAAAAAAAATATATAGACAAAAGTTCTCAGGAGATTTTCAATAGAAATAAATAGAGATATGGGACAGGATCAGCAGGACATTTGGCCAAGAGATTATTTTATGGTTTCTTGGTTTAAAAATAAAATCTAAAGAAACTGTGATTCTTGAGTTAGGAAGAAGAAAGAACAACCTGGAAGTTATGAGGAACAAAAAGACTAAGTGCCCTCCTGCCCTGCCTCCTCTAAGGAGTGGTGCAGAAGGAACAGTTAGCAGGAATATCATAAGTCCTCTACTCCTTCACGCTTCTCTGCGGCTCCAGTCTCACCACAAATAGACCGATTCCCAGGCTAGGTGCACCAACACAACAGGTTGGTCCCCGTGACAAGTCCCTTTCTTATCCTTCTGTGACGGTACTCAATAGCATTCAAATAACACCAATGAAAATCCTCTCTCTGCCTTTGCCTCGACATTCCAATGTGCCCCCAAATAAAGCCTCTTGTCCATAGGCCTCACACTCTTGTGCCACCACCTGCTTGGCTGAGCCCACTGCCTCTGTCTGTGTTCCTTTCAGATGTCTTCCTCTTGTCATGAGATAACTCTATTTCTTTTTTTCTTTCTTCTTCTTCTTCTTTTTTTTTATTTGTTTATCAAGATATGGTTTCTCTGTGTAGCTTTGGAGCCTGTCCTGGAACTCACTCTGTAGCCCAGGCTGGCCTCGAACTCACAGAGATACGTCTGCCTCTGCCTCCCGAGTGCTGGGATTAAAAGCGTGCGCCAACAGCACCCAGCAAGATAACTCTATTTCTTTACATATGTATTAATAAAAAATGTTTTTTGAACCTGTCCTAGACCCTTCTCTGACTGACCATTACCAAAAAAATCACATGGAAGGTTTGCAAGAGAAACTGTCTGCAGAGAACTGACAGGTTCTCATATAGGCTGTAGCTAAAGATAACACTCAGAGAAGAAAATGGCAGAGGAGATTTTGCTGGAATAGACTGTGTGTTTTACATAGTCCATAATGATGCAAGGATATGGAGAGAGTGAAAATGAGTCATAAGGTGACAGACAGAGTTGGTAGAGCCAAGAGGAGGAGTCGGGGCAACTTCTGGCGACTGTGGTCCAGGGGGTGTAGAGCATGCCTACATCTTATGAAATGGTGGTCTTCACTTTTTTGTCCCAGGATACCCTGAATGTTAGCTGCATTGTATACTACAGTTT